ATTTTTTATAATATATATATTTTTTTTCAATCTTTACCTGCAGTACCTTTGATGCTACAGATTGGTCGTGGGTAGTCAGTGTGCTGCATTATATTAAGCATTATTGTCGTTGTGAAGTATTTTGAAACAAGAATTACCACAGGCTAGCCACGATGGAAGTTTCCTATTTTAAAGCCATAAGGCATATTGACAACATTTGGTCTTAGTTTTCTTTGGCCAAGGGGCACATAATGCTTCCCCCCTCCCCCTTCTTAAGTATGGCATCATCACTGATCTGAAAAGCTAAGTTATATTTAAAATTTACATGAATTGGACATGTTTCTTTTTCTTAATCTACTAAGAAAATATCCTGGATTATATACATACACACACATTTTCAACAGGAGGCCTAAAATACTTGTTCAGGTTGTTAAGGTGTGTTGCGGATGTTATGGACCGTGGAGGCTTGACTTTAGGAGTTCAAAATGCAAATCAGGCCACAAGATTAAGTTTTATTATTCTCTCCAGTGAAATACATGTTTTATGGTAATATGGAACTCTTGCATAATTCCAGTGTGTTGCTGTGTTTTGTGCGAGACAAGGTCATAGAAAATTGGATTGTCAGGATGTAAAAGATGGGATGTTAGAATGATTTTTTTATTAAAAACATAAATATATTGTAATGATATCTTTAGCAAAATACAGCCTATTTAGGAAGTGCTTCTAAATATGTTTGTCCTGGCTGATTCTCGGATGCATTATTTTCAAACAAACTCACATATAGTGTTTTATTGTGAAGAATCAAAACTTTTGATAAATTTTCTTTTATAAACTCGAGGTAATGGTAAACTAGCTAGATAGACTTTCAAAGATAATCTTCCATGTATTAAATATTTAACTATGTTATCAAAAATCATGAAGTACAAATTAACCATGAGTATGCATTCCTGAAGACTGATCCTGATAAGGCCGAATTGACTGCAGGTTATACTTCAGGAAGTTTCACTTAGGGGTGCTGATTGTAACTTCCTTGATGCCATAAAGTAACTATGTGACATCATCTCGCTGTGACAACGCTTCTCCTACGTGGTAGCTTGACTTTTATGTGTTGCTGACAAATGAAAACTACTATCTGCCTTTAAGAAATGAAATATGATGAGATACTAACAGGCTGGACCTCTCTCTCTAGAAAAAACATAATTGACCTGTTCCCTAGGTAGGAGCTAAGTAGCGTTGGATAATACTGAGCAAGAAAAGTCCTATCTGCGAGTTACCTGGTGGTCCTGTCCTAACAGGAGAAGAGATATGAGACCTGGCTGTCGGGTAGCCTGGATGGTAATGTTGATGTTGTTTTTCACGTCCATTATTCCTACAGTCATTTTTAATGAATAGTTGACAAACATCTGATGTCCAGTGCAAGCAGTGCTGTATAATGCAATGAGCATGAATGGATTCGGCTTGTACTGACCGCATCATTATTTACATAACTGGTTAATCATGCTAATTTTGTTCCAGCTGTCAGCCATTTGATTGCTTTAAAACTTGGAGCTTTTAAGAAGCCTCAAATCTTGGATCACTGCTGTGAAATGCCAAAGGCCTAATTTGTTACTTCATAAAAATGCTGATGGTCTTTCTTGATACAGAAATTGGTGGGGGTTTTTTGGTGGTTTGGTTTTTTTTGTGTTTTGTTTTAGAGAGAAATCATTAAATTGTAATCTGTTTTAGGAGAAGTTTATTACAGTGTAATGATGATATTCATGATCTTGCTTTTCTTAGGTCTCGTACGTAGGATGGGGAAATGGATATTGGTTTTGCCTGGTCTAGAAGAATATAAGTTATTCTAAAATCTTTATTTAATGGCTGGTACTCAGGAAGCAACTTTCCAGTCTTCCAGTGCCATATTTGCAGAGCGCTAAATTGCCTCTTGGGATCTTGCTAATAGAAAATGAAAGGTGCCTGGTTTGTATGAATGTCTGTAATGTTCTTTTTCCACTTTGCCTTGCTCTGATCTGTGCAGGGAAAGTAGCGAAACGTACTAGTATCCTGCTGTCTTAAGTGCTTCAAAGAACAGCGGGTTTTTTTGTGTATTTCAGTAGCCTGGCTGCTCATTAAGAAGGCATGAGACACCGTGGAGGAGAACAACATGTATGCTGTCCTCTAGAATAAAACCTGCTAGGTCTAATTGTAGCTCTGCTAGCATTGGTATACTTCAATTTGGTTACATACTGGTATCTGCTGAATAGTAGACCATGAAAAGTCCCCGAATTAATCAGTTTAGGTGGCTGTTACAGGATTGCTTTCCTGTTCGGGGCGGGGGAGAATTTAGAATGCTTGTATGTCAGAATAAGTGAATTCGGAGACTGTAAGCTTCAGGATGAATCTAGAACTAGGTGGTTGTCGCAGCTGAGCCTCTCGGTGAGTGGTGCAGGAGGCAGAAAGCTGCAGAAAAGCTGGTATTGCTTATTTATCATTCTGCAAGTAACAGTTTTTTCTTTGGTTTTCAAATTTGGGATTTGGTTGATTTTACGACCAAGCTCCAAACTATTGAAAAAAGGCAAATTGTTTGTTGGATCAAACAGTCCTAAGATGTGTTTTGTAGGTAACTAGAGGTTGTAGGCAGTTTTTAAGGAGAGAGTAGCTTAAATTACTGAGATTGAGTTCCTTCAAACTGTAGTATATATGTTCAGAGTTACCGCAAGAAGTTAAATGCGTGTAAATATTTAATAGTGGAGTTTGTATGAATGATTATACTAATTAGAAACTTAGTGTAAAAGTATTTTGTGTTTTCTAGTTGCAATGTCGCTGGCAACTGGAGATGTTTTCCAGAATTTGGTTTGTAATTCACTGTTGGGCATTTTTATATGGAAATATTATTTTGAATCACTACCAAGCTTAGTTAAATGCTTTTCTTCTGTAGAGGCAATTTTTACCTCAAATTTTCTGGTATTGTTACAAAAATTGAACTTAAAAATTGACCTCGGAACCAATGCCCTGTACTGCGTTAATTGTTAATAGTGTGTATATCTGTTTTCATGTCACCCAGGGCTGTTAACATAAATGACTCTAACTAGTGCCTTGAGCTTGCGTTCAAGGTCAGGCTTGGTCTGTTCACAGTGCCTATGCCTTGGCTTGCATGCCGACTTGAAAAAGCCGGCTCTTTCCAGGTGGGGAAACATGAGTACAGAGCAGAGGAGAGCTCAGGCACGAACAGGTCCCCGCTGGCAGCGTGAGCGCAGCTGGCTCTAGCAGCATGACCAGGTAAAACCAGTCCCAGCCCAGAACTGGACACATCTCCGCGTTGGAGGCTCCCCTTATCTGAGTTTTATGGTGGAGGTGGCTGGGTAAAGTTCTAAAGAATCTCAAACTTGGTATGTTTCGTTGTCCTGATGCATACAACTTATTTTCAAGTAATAATTCTCCTTCCACGGTTAGGAGTATAGCTCCCTGAGCTGCCTAAAGTAGTAATTAGTTGAAATTTTTGCATGAGACCTCTGCAGTTTTCTTCCACATTGTTGGCTGCTCCTGTCTTTCCTCCAAGTGCTGTTTTATTAATGTTGTCTGCAGTTGCTGAGTCTTCTGTCATGTAACTGTATAATAAATACTAAATGTACAAGGCATGAGAAGTAGAATAGTTTTGGAGAGTGACCCAGACAGGAGAGCACTTGAATGCAGTCTGCTTCTGTAGACATGGTACAAACCTGTCTTTCTGTCTTTTAGACTTCTTCTATCTCCTCCTACTTTCTTGCCCTCATAATTACCTTGTACTTTGCACGTGTATACATCTGTTTTAGTGCTTATTTGAATAGCAGTCCTGGTTCCTCTCTCCGGTCGGGTCACATACATGTTTCCTATGGCTCGGATTTGATCACCTTTAGACCCAATGTTCTGGTGGTTGTTCTTTTTCAATGGAAATTTCTGTTCTTATCCCTTACAGTAAAATATTAATCTGTAAATCATTTGCTCTTTTATGCTTACAGTGCAGCACTTAATGAACAATACTTCTACAAATTAAGTAATAATCTTTTTTTTTTTTAAAGTTCAGAGCTGCTTATTAGCTTAAAAACATGCCAGGCACCTTTCCTAGAGATGTTTTATGTCCGTCCTTCAAGATAGAGATCGGAAGACTCGCTTGCCTTGTTTGTTTTTCAGTGTAGCAGTAGTTAACAGCCAATTTTTTGGTCTGTCATTCTAAGAGATGTTTTATGTCCGTCCTTCAAGATAGAGATCGGAAGACTCGCTTGCCTTGTTTGTTTTTCAGTGTAGCAGTAGTTAACAGCCAATCAATTTTTGGGTCATTCTAGAAGTGACTGCTTAAAGATAGACAGTGGAGTCTGGGGGTCACGGCTAAAATGCTACATCTGTATCTCTAGAGAAAATTAAATTAAAATTTAATCTCCCTGCAGAATAACCTTATAGAGACTTTCCTGCAGTTCTGAAGATGTCACTTACATAATGTAATGTCTTCTAAAATCAAACCACTAGTTTTCATTATTTAAAAAGCAGAAACCCAAGCAGAGCGAGCTCTGTACTTCTGTTTGTTGGGTCTGTTCTCTTTGGTTGAGTTTTGCCACTGAGAGTTGCTGCGATACATGTTGTACCCGTGCTGGTTAAAAGCGTCAGCATGGGCGACAAAGGTGCTAATGGTGTCAGGGATGTTCTTTTACAGTTTTTTCTTTGCGCGCTTTGAAATCATATTAATTTCTAGACTTAACATCAAATTGGTAGTTTCTGAACCTTTACAAGGGCAATGGTCTTTTCATAGCTTTGCTAGAACAAAGACATTTTAAGAATCTTAATAGAGAATCGTATAATCTTATTACAACTGCTCCTGACTGTTTAAATCACTTCCTTGTACTTAAGTAACAATCTGTCACCAGCTATTTCTTGATTGTCGTTTTTGTCAGATGCAATTTATCCCCCTCCGTGTTTTTGTTATAATTTCTTTTTTTTCTGATTGTGCAACCCTTAGGTTGGCAAGCAATTTCTTTCTCAAACAGTTCTTCTGACTTCATTGGGACTAATCACATGAGTAATTGCTCACTGGTGTAAGGGTTGTACAGTTCACAAATAAGACCTTTGTAAGACCTCATGGGCAAAACCCACTAAAATAACTGATATATACAGTTCTAATACTCCTTAGGGAAAGGCAAAACAAAGTATTTTTAAAGGCAACTTCCTCCCCTGAGACGCAGGCACGAAAGACTCCCTCAAACATCTTTCCTTGTAGGTAGGAAATCTGTTCTCAAGTGGCTAGTTGTGTGCTGCTAACTGGGTGAACAGGCCTCAAGCAGCATTTTAGTTTTGTCATTCTCATTTTTATTTATTTTTTTCTTTTAGCAGTGAGGATTTCTTCAGCCAAATCTATTGACCCCATTGCTGCTGTGACTGCCTTTCTACTAACTTTCAGCTCTGTTTGAACAGGGATGAGGCTTGTGACAACAGCAGTAAGGCATATAGATGTTTGATCTAAACCTATGAAATCAGCCAAAATTTAAGTTCACAAATTAATCCTTATGCCTCAGTTCTAAATAGAACTATTTTAACATGCCTGCCTGTTCTCTGATGGATGGTGAAGCAGAATGTACTCTGTCATGCGGTATATGTAAAGGAAAGCACTTGAATTATTATTTGAAAAACAGAAATTTAATGTTTTTAATTATTCAGTTAGCTAATTAATCAGTGAAATACTCTACCATTTTGTGACATTGCTAGAGTGTGAATATTAATGTCTGTTTAGAGAGAGATCTGAATCGTGCATTTCCAGCAAGATTCAGATCCAGGGAAGGTCTGGTGAATCTTTAAAACGCCCCTGCCCAGGTATTTCATCATTTGATAAAAACTTCTTTTATAATGGCCATTGGAAAGCATAAGACTTGCATCTGTTCTGTTATGTAATGAAATATTTGCCTTCTGAGCCCATACTGGCTTATTGCATGGTTTTATGATTGCTTCTTGTAATATTACGGTTCTTGCAGTGACTTTTTTTTTTTTAATTTTTTTAAGGGCTTGGAACGCTTATTACTGATGAGAAGTGTTACTATTTTTTTTTTTCGCTGCTGTTGAGCAGAGTTCATTAAGTTAAACTTTGTCTACCAATTTAGGAGAGTGTTTCTCAAAGTAAAGATAATGCCTCTGTCGGAATGTTTTTAGATAAACAGCATAGGTGACACCAAGTACTTTTCTTAGAAGTATGCAAATGCAGATCAGAAATCAGTATTTAATACTGTAATTATAGTTTTTGAGAATCTCTACAACTTACGTGTAAATTTAAAGCAGAAATTTCTACATGCTACTCAGAAGGACAGGAGGACTGTCATTGCACTGGACTATAATTA